CTGCTCGACGCAAGTTTTATCGGCACACGAACCGACGTACGTGTGTCCGAAACTGGAGCGGAGTCCTTCGAAAATTGTTGAAAGCGTTGCCCGGCGTGTCGAGCCGCGTCGCGTAAACTACGACACGATCTGTTCCGAGACGAGACAGGTTGTTCCAGTTCGGACGCCGACTTCGTAAATTCTCGTGTACCTTTCTACGAGCTTTAGTCCCTTCAGTCAGCCGCGATGCCCCCGAAACGGCGAGATTGTTCCGCCTTTCGGACATTTACGCCTTTACAAGGTTAAGCGACAAGCTCTAACAAGCGTGATAGTTGAACGCGGCATTTTCCATTAGAAATCCAATTTGAACACCGAATTTTTCCGTGACGCGTCACGCGTGATTCAGACACTGTCGTCCTTCGTTTTGGAGTACTTAACTTCCTACGATTTAATTTCAGTTTCACTTGTTAGAACTGTTTATCCTTAACGATGCACCGGTAAAACTAACGTTCTACAATCCTATACGTGGATTCACTCTAAATCGTACGAATTGCTAACAAGAAAAATGTTTCGTTCGAGCTCAGAACTGAATAACGTTTCTATTTGTTGACTAATGTTACAAATCTTCACGAGCCTGACATTGCAAGGAAAGTTGACACGTTGGATGCCACGGTGGTCGCTGGTTCATTCGATTGAACGGTAATTATCGAAAAGCTTGTCTATATTGTACGTAATACCACCTAGTGCAGCGACATTCGACAAGATAAACCTGCAATAATAACAACGCGATTCAATTGCATAAGTTGATATTACATCATTCTCATTTTGTATATTTTCCTCGGAAAAATCGTGCAAAGCACACCGGTTCGAGTCGATCCACGCAGGACAAGATCGAACGGTTAGGTTCCAGCGATCTCGTTGTGAAACCAGCTGTTCGGCGGACCGCGGTTTTCCGTCGGCGGCCCGCGAGGATTTTTCGGGCCGCAGAAAATCGTGAGGTTCCTTCGCTTGATGTATTGCGGGGTGAACGAATCGGTCAGCTCGAGCACCCATTCTCTTTCGGGAGCTGCGCTGTCCCGTCACTCGTCGACGTAAAATCGTTAAGTGGGTCGACGGAAGAAAGTTCGGTCTCTGCGTGTTCCTCGGAACGTTCCGAAGCGCGAACCAAATTCGCGGCGGCGCGCCGGGCTTAATTAGATTTCTTCCGTTTTCGGTGGAAGCGTTTGTGCGGCGACGCGTTCCGTTTCTTCTGCAAACATTCCGCCATTATCGTCCGCCTAAATGAAATGTAGATGCGGTGAATAACGGGGGCCAGCCTTCATTAACGCGCGTCGCAACCGTTTCAAGAATACGCGACGAGAGGACGTCGAGAATGTTTCGAGCGGTTGTCTCGCCGACAGTCATTAAGAAACGAAAGAAAGCGTTGCGCGAACAGTAATTTCGATGGAACAACGTCGCCGTTCGTTCGGTGAAATAATAACTGCGTCCAGTTGCATAATCATTTCCCCTAGGAAACCAGATAATTCGATTACGACCGTGGACAGAGAATCTTCCGTCCGTCGTGAAGCGCGCCAGAGGAATCTGTCGTCCCCGGTTTTTCGAGGAACGTTATCCACCGTCAAGGAGAATCCTCGCGCTGTTCATCATCCGTAACCGGCCCCATGAATCATCCCTTTGTTCCGGGCTGGTCGTTCCCGAAAAACGTAAAAAAGGGAAAACGAAAAAAAAAATAGAAGAACATTGCGCGGAGGACCGAACGTGGAAGGGGAGGAGAGAGGAGAAAGAGAGCGCAGGAAGGGGAGGAATAAAACAAGAAATAAACGACAGATTTACGCGTGTCGTACGAGGGCGGGCGCACCGTACGCTCGGAATACTATAAATTCGCGTTTATACGATCACCGGCAGTTATTAAAAGCGGCACCAGCGATTCGTCGTTCGCGGGGAGGAAAAATACGGGCCTCGTCGCAGGGACGACTTCGAATATAAAGCCGCCGCCGTTCATTCTTCCCTTCCCCGTCCCCGCGTCGCGGCTGGGAGCCTCCCCGTAGAATTTCGGAATCAAAAATTCACCGGTTACCGCGCGCGAGGGAAACGCGTCGTGTCGTTAATCGTGTTTACAGCGGGTGGGCCCGTTAATGGCGCGCGCGCGCGGCTGCTAATATATTTCCACGCCCTTTCGGATCAAAACGTATTCTAAAAGCTTGCTCGCGCTCGCTAATAATTCTCGCCGAACGCGCGGCGCGTGTTCCGGGAAATTTCCAGCCGGCGAGCAGATCGAATCGGGTTTTCGGAACTCCAACGGCCCCTCGCCGGTTTTTCGCGTGAGCGGAATTTACGTTCGCCGGTGGACGCGATTTTCCGGCGCCACGGCGCGCGCGCGCGCCGCTGGAGTTCTTTTTGCGGGGACGAAATTTTGTTTACAGAGAAACGGGCTCGCGTGACGCGCGCCACCAGACACCGTTTTCGAGCGCTGCGCGCTGCAACGGAAATTAAC